TTTGCATAATAATTTAAGTTTTCAGCATTCCCTCATTTTTAATAATTTAACAGCATATTATAATGAAGCTTGGTACATATGTGCCCTGGAACTATTCAAAGACATAATTAGTTTGGGGTTGACTGAAAACCACAGTTGTAAAAGTATTTATTTAAGTATTTTAACTTCATGAATGTGGATCACATTGTTTTCATGTTGTACATCTCAAATAGCAGACAAATATTAGTTGCTAAGCTTCTTGTTTGGAAGGCTAATTAATTTTTAATGTGTCTTCATTAATCTCAAAGCACACAAGAGTTCTTTTTAAGCTTACTTTAATTCTCTTTGGTATCATTCAAATGGCTTTCTGTTGTCTAAATTCAACTCTTTAACCACTGAATGTTAATTGTGCAGTGCTACCTAAAGGTTTACTGTAAAGCATCCATTATTTTTGCTAATTTTCCCCACATAAATTCTGACCAATCATTTGTCGTATTTGAAAAAATTTACCAGAGAGAGGGTGTGACATTGTCAATTGTTTGTCCTGTTCAATTTTAACCCATCATTCATCTTATTGCCCTTGCAGCAGCTGATTCTGATGAAATTCCAGCCAAAAAGGCAAAAATTAGGTCACAAGAAGAAGATGCAGATGACAAATCTGCAAAAACGAACAATGACAAAAATGATGATGATGATGATGATGATGATGATAAAGTTGATGTAGAACGATCTCCACAGCCATCTACCTCACAGCAAAGTGAAAGTGTCCAGTCAAATACAGATGACAACATACTTCGGCATGCTACAAGACAAACCAACTTTGTTGATGTGTTGGTCAAGACAATTGAATCAACATTACAGATATTTGAGTCATAGAAGCAACTTCAAATAACTGTTTCTAGTGCAGGTGATTTCTTGAATAACTGCAGTGGTTTATTTTGTGTAGCAGAATCAATGCATTTCCATTTTGCCATATGTGAAGGGGGGTTGTGTAATCATTGAATGGTGCTGTCAGATATTTTATCCAGAGAATCATATCAATTTTAAACTAGAAAAATGTATTACAGTATAGTAATGGGACATTGCTGCTTTCCTGGGAATAATCTTTGTGTGCCAATACTGTGCAGAGGAATTATTATTGGTTTTTAGTCATTTACTTACATCATTTATCTTCCTTCTGGTATCCCTTCTTTTAATAGAAAGGTGCTGTTTTTTTTTTCTTTTGGTGCAGCTGTATTAATGATTTTGGCAACAATATTACTATGTATGGGTGAAGAATAAATGTGAATTTGCCAAGCATTCCTTGATTCAGATGGTGCTAAGCTACAAAATGTGGTGCTCTTCTATCATCTGTAATTTTAATTTTTATTGTGTGTGTGTGTTGTTAAACAACCTTCTGTTTGTATCCATTTTGTGATGTTCAATGTACTTTAAATAAATTATACGATCTTGGTATCAAACTAATGGTGCTTTCTCAGTTGTCCAGCCAGGTTTTCAATCACTGATAACAGATTATTGATGAGTATGAGAAATGTTACATATTTTATTATTTTGGCAAATTAATGAATCAGGTTACCACTTACCTGGATTTACACTGTATCGCTGTATTCCCTCCATGTCACGTTATCGGTTTTACGATGCCACTGGGTTAATAGTCTATACAGGCTCATAGATTTGCCTTACTGTTTAATTTTTATTGTGAAATTGTGATTAATGTTTGTTTTTTGTTTACTCGCGCAAAAAGAGAATGGAATGGTTAAGTTCCTGCATTATATTTTATTTGTTTTTATGTGCAGTGCTTGAAGCAAAGTAATTTTTTTCTATAGTTTTATATATGATATGAAGTGCAAGCCATTGCTTTGATACTAGTAAAGAAATAAAACCTATGTATGTCTGAGTATATAAATTCAGTCGCTGTGTTTCTCTCTAATGACTTGGATGTCTTTGAATAATATTTATCCCGATTCTTTTTGGGTTGAAATGCATACATGCTAATTACCAGTTTATAGCCTCACACCAATAAACTACCACTATTAGTTTAAGTGAGATATTTGTCTGTTAGACAAAGGGAGTTCTACTTCCAGTCAATTGACCCCGGGAATTAAAAATGATGGTATCACCCACCAGGTAAATAGCACATCCAGGGATTATGAGAAAGATCTTCACTTTCATTAGTGTGCCATTTATTTATATGCTGTGCCTGTGTTCGTCAGTTTCATCAAGTTTGTAAGAAGTTTACGTTGATCAGCAGTTATTTTCATGATGGCTGACATACCAGTCTTAGCTGGAGAAGGAACCAAGTTGATTGCAATGATACATGTGATTCTGTGGTCGTGATTATCAAATTTAATTTAAAATAGTAACAGGACTCCTAGATGATGATGATCATTGTTGTCTGATTTAGACCAAGTGTCAAAGCAATTCTAGATTCCCAACAGATGCGATGTCATTCAATTTGCGCATATGTGGACAGAAATATAAAACATGCAACCCCGGAAGTCAGTGGCATATTTTTTAAAAGATAGCTGATGGGTACAAAAAAGGCAGCTAGAATAACTATGTAATACAACTGAGAAACTTGGATTACTAGTTGAAAAAGTTTTTTTTTTTCAATGAAAATTGAGATGGTACATGCATGTTCGCTGAGTAAATATGACCAACAGTTTTTTAATCCCAAAAATATTACGCTAAAACCAAAGATAATTTAAATGTTTGTTTTTCTTGCTTTGGCAGAATAGTGAGCACATTTTCAGAGGCTGATACCAGTTACATGTAGTTGAAAGATAATGGTACTACATGTATTTGAGTTGCTTTGCTGCGAGTTGGTTACATAGATAAGCGATGTATTGAGACTCTGTGCATTGGAACATTTGAAATCTGACCAGACTTCTGGTTTGTTGACCTCAGGACGCACACAAACTATAAATGCAGGAATTGAAGTAGCACCTGGAGCTGTAGTCTACACATGATTAAGAAAATGTACCTTTGTTTGGGACTATAATGGTTATTAAGGTGGAAACCTAGTCATAAATACCCAGAATTTATTCATATTGCAATGACTTTTACTCCTGGGCAATTAAGGTAGCGGGACTATTATTTGCATACTTGTTTTCATCTTCTAATTGTGACTAAATGACTACAAATAGACCCGGGAAAGTATATTTTTAGAATCGCCAGACTTCAAGCTTTTCACAAGTGTATTTTGCATGCCCGTATCTGCATTCTACGACGCGTTACTCAATCAAAGGTGAAAAATTACTTTTTCTGT